TTTCTTCATTCTAAAATTATATAAGTGATGACAACTTTCTGCTTCGCAGAATTTCCGAAGAAATAAGTTAAAGAATACTAGATTAAAAACTCAATATCTTAAGAGGGAATCAATGTCTTGTTTCAAAACAAGTCATTGTATTTGGAACTTATTTTAAAGTTAAAAACTTTTCATCGGCAGTCATCAGAATATTTTCAATGCTTCAATTTCAAAGTCGAAAAAAAAACCATTTTTCAAAATTACGATAAATTTAAACTAATGCATGAAATTAAAACGAGAGGGTTACAAAGATCTTATCATAGTAAATTAGTAGCGAGCTGTTAGAAATTGATGCTTAAAATTTTATCTAAATTTAAATTTAAATTTATGAAAAAAAAGTTGAAAAATCGACCAAGCTAACGGAAATTTGACTCGTACCACTATTAAGCAATTTAATCGTGCCGTCGATCATTGTGGAAATATTGGAAGTCTGAAATTTTTTCATACTAGGATAAAATATTTCTGCAACATAAATCATCAGAAACACCACAAAGAAAGCAAAAAACAGGTGGAGCTTGGTAAGTGTGAAATCCACTACCTTAAGATTCAAAAATATATCAGCAAGATGGCATCAAAGGATGAATGGCTAAAGGAAGTCTGAAACATATATAGACATTGGAAAACGATCAAGCAAAGGGAATATCATGGCACAGTAAGGTCCTCTATGGATTGCACTATCGATTGCACCACGGATAAATGAGGTAAGTAACATTATGAAATCCTACCAGTGGTTGAAGAAAGCCGAACTAAAAGGCATAACTGAGGCATTGATTATACCAGCCCAAGAACTGGCACTAAGTACCAAATTCATTGAAGTAGAAATCTCCCACACTAGAAAAGAGCTAGTTACAAAGATTTTAGAGTTACAAAGTGGAGATTGACACATAGTGGCGGAATAAAATGCAAGCAGGAATAAGATATATTGAAAGGTAACACATAATCAAGTACATAATCAAGTAGCTGGCAACATCTACTCGATATATGGCTTAGATCCTCTCAAGACTGAATGAGAAAATCCTCAGAAAATTGGACAGAACAATAAGGCGAAGATCCTTCTCCATCCAAACAAGAATCACTGGCAAATAAACCAGATATCGTGGTAGTATACAAAAATCAAAAATCAGTATTGGTGATAGATATAGAAATACCAAGTGAACAGAATGTCAGGAAAAAGAAATATGAGAAGATAAAAACCAAGAGTGAAACTAGAGAAGATGTGGAAAGGCCAAAATAATTCCAGTAATAATTGGAGTACTTAGAATTGTGACTTCAGCAGATTCCATGAACAATATCAGAGATCTCTATCCAAAAGAGCGCACTATTAGGAACAACTAAGATGTAGATGCTGAACCCGCAATCTCCCAGGCTTTTGGTAGAGAACAAGGTTAAGGATAACTATGTCTATCTGCAAAGAATAAGAAAAAATATAAATATGTATCTATATTTATATAAAATTTATAATTTATAATTTATATAATATTTATATAATATTATAATATTTATATAAATTTATATTCATGATTTTTATAACTCTCCATTTTGTACTTTTTTGCTATTATTTCATTTATTTATCCTCATTTATCCTCATTATTTTTTCAAACATGAAGGAAGGTTTTATTTAAGTTATTTTAAAAATTTAAACTTAAAATTTTCTAAGAATTTACTGAATTCCATACATTTCCAGAATTAACTATTAGTATGCTCGTGTTTTATTTTTCCACTCCATAAAAAATAATTTAAAAATAATGCAAAAATATGATAAATTAAATAAAGGAATAAATAAAGGAATAAATAAACCATTCTACAGAAGTAGAAAATAAAAATCTAGCATAAAGAAAAATTTAGCAGAATACCTTGAAATTGTTTTGAAAGAATTCCATGGAATTGTCGATGTTCGAATCGCGCTCTTTCGAACGCGATTTGTTCGTTTTACGCATTCTAGTTTCGGCGACTCGAGGTCTCTTTACATGACCACGTGTGAGTGAATTAGATACTTCATCACCGTTTGCAGCAAGCTAGAATAAATTTAAATACGTTATAATTTATAATTCGAAATACATGATTTATTTTTTAGGTAAGAATAAAAATGGACTAAATGGAAAATATAATTTCAACTAATTATTTTTTTGCAAATTTTTTATTTGAAAACAATGAAACTAAAATGCTTTTGAATTAAGATTACTAAATATAAAGAAAAGTAAATCTTAAAATAAGAAAATCCCAAATGAAATCCAACTTCTGAATTCTGCAATAATCCTTGATTATTTTGACTGTAATAAATAAGTAAATCTGATTCAAGCAAATGATCGAATCGCCAGTTTCGTTGATGGGATCCAATTTGAATATGCTCATCACGACGCTGAATATGTGGATCTTTGCTAGAACGACCAATCCTCATAACAAGACCATCAGCAGGATCATTGTCTTCTGAATGTGGAACTAGCATTTTTTCCGCCGAATGTGCTGCCTTCACTTCTTGCTGAATTTTTTCTGTTCTAGCTGGATTAAAATGAGACTTTATTACCAAAGGAGGCATATTAATTGTTGTATTGAGATAAAAAAGCGGTAAATTCCCCAAACAATACGAATTATCTTCAATATCATTTGAATCCACGCTTTTATCAATTCCTGGACTATTAGTATTTTTGGAGCTTTCGCTCTCAAAATTCTCTTGGGAAGTGGAAGTTCCACAAGGTTCACATTTTTCTGAAGACAAACTATCCAAACTGCGGTCATTGCGCATAGTTGATCTGACTGACAGCCTCGTTGGCGATCTTTGCGATGTGCTGACGATTCCTCCACTCACTGCTGTTCGAATAACCTGATTACTTCTAAGTGTACTAGAAGCAGTTTCGCGTTGCAGTATACGTCTAATATCGATCTGAGAATTTGGCGATATTTGAACTGATTGCGGTTCAACCATTATTCTGTTAGCCTCAGCAATTCGAGAAACAAAAGGAGCACTGCGATCTTGTCCAACTGCTCTTCCTCTACCACTAGTTGGCATAAGTCCTCCGCGACCTCGGACAATTCTTCCTCTAATACAAACAGGTCGAGAGGTATTATTGCGTGAACCAATTCCATGCCCAAAGGAATTGGTCATTTGATGTAGCCCTGTAATATTTTAATATCAAAATAATTTTTAAATATTTCGAAAAAATTTGCTGCTTAAAAACAAAAATTAATAAAATAAATGCGAACATCAAAAATACCAAATCAAATACATCAACTAATATATCAGAAAACAAAAAAGTTTTAATTCAGCTTATTTAACACATTAAAAATGGCTACGATATGCTGATATTAAATTCCAATTACCATCATTTGTAGTTGATGGAAAGATTGCCATCCGTGGGACATCTGTACCATTTGAATATCGTAGAATACTATTGTTTCGCACCTTAAAACGAAATAAGATTCAAAAAATAAATATCATCCACTATTCTTTTAAATATTTCATCATTAAAGAAAACAAAAATTAACCATTAAGCTTTTATGGTTCGCTCCAATATCTATATCCATCAAATTCAATTTTCAAATAAGATTTAAAAGAACCTCTTCATTATTTGACGAATTTCGTCTTGCATTAGCTGAGGAACGAGCTATAACCGCTTCATTATCGTTAGCTGCAACAAAAACAAAAAATTTCTTGCTGAAGATGAGAATTTTTTAGATGATGAAAAGATGAAAGATTGGAAAAATAAAGATTTCCAGAGAAAAAATATATTGAAAAAAGGATATCTAAATAGCTGATATCAAGAAAGAAAGTTCTGTTCCAATAATAACCTTCAATAATTACAACAAAAAATTAATTTTCTTTAAATAATCTTCAATTTTTCTAAAAATGCAAAGAAAAAAATATTTTTCAAGACTAACTCATTCATAATATTTTAAACTTTTAAAGGGATTAAAAGTAGACATATTCGCAGGTGAAAAAAAAAGATATGAACGAAAATGCTATCCTGTGAGTACAAGTGTCGCGAAATGCAATGTTTTTTTATTATTTCAAATCGGTAACCCCGACCCGCCAAAGAAAATCGATCTTTCTTGCTCGATTCTTTAGTTACTTTATATTTCAATGAAACATAAAGGACAATTTACAGTATGTTGTATATTTATAAATTTTTCTTCTGCACTTTAAGGAGCCAAATCATGCTTTTGCCCCTGTTAAGCACCATATCGTTCTTATCGCCATTTTAGGTGCCATTAAGGGACTCAAGCAGAGGTCTGTCCTGACAAGGCAGTCGGATCAAGCTTATTCTAATATAATTAACGTGTGGCAGGCGAGCATCATCCCACTGCTTCCAATCAATAATCTTATTATCTATTTTTTACAATAAATATTTCAATATACCCGTGATAAGACGCTGACGAAAACGTTGAAAAGCGATTTCACCTCGCTGATTTGTATTGTGCGATAGCCCATTACGACGTAGCTCATTTAATATCGCCGATTCGAAAAAATCGGGGTCATTTCCGAAATACGGAACATTTTGCAAAATGACTCGTCTAAGATCACGGTCATGTAAAAATTCAGATAATGTGCCACTTCTTGTAATAAATGCACTGAAAAAAAATTTATTTCAAAGCACAGACTCAAAAATCTAATTCAGATCATATTTTGAATTTAATGTTATTAAAAACTGCTAATAATGAAATTACTAATGATAATAGAAAATGTCGCAAAACTTTCAGCAATAATTAAGTTTTAATTCCATCTGGTACTACCAAAAAATTAACAAAAAAATTTTAAGGCAAGAATGCAAATTGACTCATTATTGCTGGAAGGAGCGTTAATGGACTGATTATTTTGTGCTTGATGTTCTTGCATATGTGCTATTATATCCGTCAGCTGCGATGGAACATAATCACCAAAGCCCACTCGATAAAAATCTGTCGAGATACAAATTGGACAAGCCTAGAAGGCAAATTAATTTGTTCTAAATTTCTCTTCATTATGATTAAAAATTTAAAATTAAAGAAAAATTAAATGAATAAACCATTTCAGGCAGCCGATGTGATCCGGACCTTTGATTTGAATGTTCATCGATGATATGATTAACAAGAGTTTCTCTAAGCAAACCGTTTATTCCACATACAGGACAAGTAAAAACGACGACTCGCGATCTATCCCAAGAATGAGATGAATCGCCTTCATATGTTAATTCTGAAAAGGTGGAATCCTAAGACTTTTCCACTAAATTCGCTTTGCTAAAATTTTTGAAATATCTCAAATTATGCATAAGAGCACATCCTACTCCAACCACTCCAGAAATATTAAAAAAAATTTTAAAAAACTGAAAATCTACCAAAATCTTCTTGAGTCATCATACATTGCATAGGATGAGATGACTGATGCACAAATCCAGAATCCCTCGGAAATCTGTTTTCCACAGAATGATTTTCATCACGTTCTTCGGCATAACATCTTGCGCATAAATCGAAATCATAGCATCGCAAACATTTATAACGATCACCCGAAAAACTCGGCGTCATACATCCATCGCAAGATACGCCTTGCAAATTATTTTTTCGCAGGATTTTCAGAATTTCATTAATTCCATATAGATAAATAAATTAAATAATTCTTCGAATAAATACCGAAATGAATGTTAGATTTTAAGATAGTCAAAAAACCGAGAATTTCTCCTTAAATTACCATTTTAAATAGCATAAATTATAAATTATTAAATGCGTTAAGCAGTTCATTTTAAAACAATTTACTTATTTATTCTATCCAAAAAGTTTATATTTCTACTTTAAGAATGAAATAATGAAAATAAAAAAAAAGGAATAAATTTACCATCATGAATTGCACTCATAATGCGATACAATATGGTAGTTCAAATTTTGAAATTCTGAAAAAATCTAAACAATAATTCGCCTTATTAGTGTATGAGTGCTTGGGAGCGGAAAAAACCAGGAGACTAGACCACACCTCGACCAACCGAGCTAAAACCACCAAGAACCAATCTTGTGGGAAATATTATTATCTCATCAGAATTTGTTGAACACCATCCTACACTCCCAAAACTTTGGTTTGCCTACCCACTTAGGGCACGCTTACACAGAGTGCACACAGAGCTCTATTACCAAATCTTTAACTGAAATCGAATGCTGAAAAAACTACAAGATCGCATTATTGCCTTGCATTTGCTAAAAAAAAATTAAAATTAAAATTAAAAAAAATTAAAAAATAAAAAATAAAAATCTCTCCGCGATAAGAAATAAATTTTTATTTCTTGTGGTTTATGCCTTATTATGCCTTTTTTTAAATGTTATGTCATTATGCCTTGAATATTATTGGAAAAAATGAATCCAGCAAAAATTGTTTTAAAAAAATATAAAATCACCAGTCGAAACAGCGACGAAATTTTTTAAAAATGTATTAAAAATTTGCATTATTTCATTACAAAAGAAAGAGAAAAGAAATTCAAAAGTTTATTAAAAACGTAAAATTAATCAGAAAATTCCATAAAAAAACTGAAAATTAAATTAAATTATTAAAAAAATTTTTATTTCAAAAAACACGGGCGTCACGGTTATTTTCCCAATCTTTTATGGACATCGCCTACAGGCACACGAAATATGTACAAGTAAATACTGAGAGTTACGATCTTAAATAAACAAATATACAAATACTGCAAAATTATGAAAATAATGAAAAATTATGATAGAAGACGGATCGTGTAAATGTACAACAAGTGAAAGATAAATCCCCAGTTTGTACAGCTGAGACTAGACATTTTCATCCATTAATTTTCAACAGTTCATATCATAACTACTTAAATTGGCTGTGCTGTCTACAAGTTCAAAGTTCAAAGCTTGAGAGACTTAAATCGTTTAGAGATTCATCTGAAAATAATGAAAATAAAATAATTTCCACCGTCTCAATCCCTATATCGCCCAGCCGCTTATGTATTTAAAATCTCTTTGTCAATTCAACTCTGGCCCTCCTCACCATCCACCATAGTATTTAGCGAGTAGCCAGATTTCCTATAACAGGCGGCGGAGAACTTCAATGAGTGGTCAAAGATATATATCGTCCCTGGTATCTCCAATTGTCTACTGTATTTTGCCATATTTAGGACAGAATGGGCCAGTGGGTTGTTACTCGATGTGGAACTGATGCTAAGGTTCTTTTCCCCGTAGAAGTAAACCTGTCCAAAAATCCGGGTGATGCTGGCTTCATCTGTAATTCTATCGCCAAAAGACTCCTTGGCATATTTATCAATGCGACAAGCCAGTGGAGCAAGTTCAAACAGTAAGGATTCTTTTAAAAAAATTCTCCAAATACCTACTGTATTTTGCAATATTTTGCCAAACGGACAATTATGCGTATTACAATTGTATAATTCATGCGAAGGTACACTCTAAGCCTGATTTCATGGCGATTCTAGAGTGGCTTTGGTAGAAGGAAGAAAGCATCCTGGCCATCCCACTGGAAGTCGGGCACTTTTTCAATGACAACGGCCAGAAACATTTTCATCGTCTGGTATGTAAGGCGAAAAGGCCTCTTATTTACATAAGTCTGATTTTCACTGCAATATATGGTCTAATATGGTGTATATGGTGTTTTAAATCATTGCTATGCATTTAAGGTCTGCGAAATTTTCGGTGCTATACTTGAAAGGACTTGCACTCGTAAGCGTCTGCAAATGCTACCCATAGCCCAGCCTCTTACATATTTCAGTCCTGAGGGGAAATAATGCAGTGCTGAAGTGCAATAGCTATTTCAGTAGGATGTGGCATTTCCTCATCCAGTCAGATCACGTTTGTGCCCATCAATCCGAGGAAGTGGCACCTATCTCTTTAGAACCGACACCAAATGACAGAAAACAGAAGGAGAAGCACTTTAAGATGAGAGAAGACTGGGAATTAGAGGCCTATGCGCCCCATGAGGTCGGCGAAACGCAGCACCGCCCGTCGCCTCCAACTCAGCAGCCGTGTGCCCTCCGGCGAAATTCCCCTCCGACGAGACGCAACGAACTTAATAAGCGATCCTACTCGAAATTAATTTAAAATAGTTATAAAATAGTTGGAATTATGCATTTACAAATAGTTTGCCTTTGCAGTGGATTCACCAAAAATGAGGAAAAATGGAGAAATAAATACTCCCAAATAAATACTCCCAATGAGTGATATCCCATCAAATTTACGACATTTCTCACATTCACCAAACATCTGCAAAAAAATGGTTCAACCATCAGAGACAAAGTTTTCTACTCGACGATCCTCCTACACACTGCAAACCAATTCGCCTTCGAAGATATTGTTCGGACTTATGAAAATTCGTGCTCTTACGAATTTGTTAATAAAGGTTCGCATTTCATATATTCAATTTGATCGCAGAAGGTGGCAGAAGGTTAATGCAGAAAACTGGCAAAGAGGTTTGCATACTGTAATTTCGCCAGCGTGCTTAAGGTGTTACCCATTATAAATATAGCCACGGGCCTTGATTTCCTTTTAGCTGGCGGTCAGGAGGAATTTCGGCAGGTGCACCGGATAACAGTAACAAAAATTGCAGTCAAATAAATCTAAATGAGAGGAAATTCGTTTTAGATACCAGAAACTGAAATTCTAGTCTTTCCGATTCCGTCAAGAAGTGTGGATAGATAAAGCCAAATTAGGATGTGCTGATTCGCAGATATTCGCAGAATAGTGAATTAAGGCTGATATCGCGTGATTTAAACATTTCTTATATGCGCTATATGCATAACTAATGGTCACATGAATGATGAAATCCTAGCTCTAATAACTGCAATTAAAAGTCCCGAAGTATGGCGGAATCTTTTCTTCTTTTTCTAACAGCTCTCACCATTACTGGTTAGGCTAACTCCGCTGGCTACAAGAGTAAGACGTCTCCAAGCTGCTCGGTCAGATGCCATCGCTAGTAGTAATAGAAATTATTCCTTTTTCCATTGTCTGATTCTATATATCGCTGGTACTCCTATACAGAAATCGTTCAAAATCTTTTCTGATTATATCAGTTCAGGCCTTGACTAATCCTTCTTGCTTTTGATACCAACCATCATAGGGTTTAGCAACCAATGAAATATGCGTCAACTTTGGTGATGGACGGCGGAGAATATGCTCTAACCAGCGAAGACGACACTCTGTGATAACATTATTAATATAGGTGGTATATGAGCCAAGATGGATACTATCATGTGCAATTTTATCTGCTCGACGAATCCGTAAACGAAGCGTAAAATATACCTTGGACATGAGCGGTCAAAGGTTTATAGCTTCTTAATATCCACTCTCTCTCTCATTCCACTCTCATTGGCAATATTTTGCCATATAATAAGATCGAACGAACTGCAGCTATATGGACGCGGATTATTGCTGGTATTTGAAGAGATGTTCCAGCACTCTTCTTACCGTAAATATCTGGTCTAGTCAGCATAACAGCGTAACAGCGTCCCGGTCTGAATCCAGTTTGGTTAGGACGCATTCTGCTATCTCATTAGCCTGTCTGCCATGAATCTGTTCTGCAGAGGAGAAGCGAAAATTTTTTCAGAGATGTCCAGTAAGCTGATTCTTCAGTAATTGTCCTGTCACTTTTGTTAAGAATTTTAGAAGCAAAATTGCTTTGCTGCAGTCTTCTGGTATTATTTTCTTTTGCCATACCAGAGAACACATTTATTTAAGGTGAGTTATGAACGATAATGGACAACATTTGAAGACCATCTTTTACGGGAGTTTTATTGGTCTTAAGCTTATGGATTATAGAGATTATTTCCTCTTCTGTTGACGGTTCGCACAGTTGAAAATGTGTGGCGACGTACGAATCAGTTATATTCGGGTCAATAGATCGTGGCTAAATTTGGCCTCAAAAAATTTCTATCTTCTGAGGCGATCCTTAACAGCTTTAATAAGCACCCCATTAATATTCCGTACCATTTTACTTACTCCTTCTCGAGTTATAGTTGCTTTGTGAAGAAGCCGAAACACTTTCCTATTATCACCTATCGCTTTTTTCATTCTCAAGGCCATATCGCTTTAATAGTGATTTTTGTCCCGCCATGTTGCTGTCGTAATTGTTCGAAGCACCCGATGTCAGGATCTGATGATATTCGGGCAGCTTTTTCAGTTGGACAGTTGTTTCCGACACCCAAGTAGCGCATTTCATACTAGTATACCAGTATGGAAGCGGCTGATTTTTGTTTTTAGATTAGACCTGTATTCATTCGCCGTTCCAGAGATATCATTGATATTCATTTCACTGAAGTGTTTCCGAAGAATGTGTCCTTAGTTTAGCCTTGACTGCATTTGCTCAAGATACCTCCCACGCCAAGCGAATAGAATATCATATGGTTTCCTCCTCTTTCGCTTTAATACCACAATTGTTGATGGCATCTTCACAAGCAGTAGCCTAGCTTAGGATTTAAGTTATATTTTTCGTGTACCTCAGAAATTGACGCATATCTTTTTATATACCAAACGTTGTGGTGGATGGCTTTGAAAAATTCAATTAAAACTTGAGTCGATAAGGTCAATATTGAAGGTACAAGTGGCATAGCGATATATGTTGGTGAAGAAGGAAGTGGCTTCATTTAATTCAGAAACTATTTCAGTTTACGAGGCCTGGATTTTAGTTGCTAATGGAGCTCGTTGAACCAGCAGCAATAGTGGTATTAGATTTCGATAACTACTTTTAATTACTTCAGTTTGCTTAAGGAATATTGTTTAGATATCATCTCATTATCTGTTGATATCTTCTTTGAATTTAAATGCTTCCTGAATTTCCTCGATTATTTCAAGTATCCCATAAAACTTTTGGTATATAAATAAAGAGGTTAGTGAAATGCGAAGAAAGGAAAACTCACTAATATAGACAAGCATTTGGCTTTGCATCCTTCAAACTAATTTTATAATCGAAGACTCATTCGATATTAATTTTAACTTTAGTTAAATTATCCTATTTCCTAAAAATTAATTTTGCTTTAATTTTATTATTTCAGTTATTCAGAAGAAGATTTCTGAAGATTGCCGAACAAAACCTTTTCAGAAGAGCTATTGGGGGTTTTTCTAAAATTTAGATATTAGCAGAGGAAAATTCTAATAATAACGTTGCAGCAATTTTATGCGAATTTTTATACATTTATTAAAAATTTAAAAATGAATTAAAGTTACGATTCGTGTGAACTCAAATTGAATTTACTTATTTTTCTTTTCACACTCGGCCATTCGGAGAGATTTTATGTTCGACCTTTCTGTCCATTACGATTGATTAACTTTTTGACGAAAAAGCAGGTGAAATCGTGATTGAACTCCTCGAAGGCCTTCTCACTTATTTGACAATCCTTTCGCAGATATAATTCAATTTCCATTCTTAAAATAATTTCCTCTCTTTTGGCTGAAATCAAAAATCCGCGAACCGGTTTTAAAATTTTACCAAATTCTTATTCTTACTTCTAAGGACTATTTCACCTACTAAATTTATTCATATTTTTGTTCTAATAGAGTGGAAATTATTTGAATTATACGGAATAAAAATAATATTGGATAATCGAGAACTTTCGAATGGAGACAAATACTTCTTTATTAATTAAAAATTCGAGATGATCAAGCCGTTGCTTCGATTTTCTTATATTTTGAAACGAGTGAACCAATTATTAAAAGTGAATTCATATGGTGCTGGAGATTCACTTATCTATTCTCTGATGACTGTCGTGCAAAAAAGTCTATTCGTAATATCCTATGGAACCACCAAAACCTATAATTATGACTGCGGCCTGAAAATAAAAAGAATTCGCCCTAAAATCAAAATCAAATCGTAGAATAAAGACAATAATGAAGAAAAGTGTGGAATAAAGAAATACTCATTTAAGTGAAGCAAGTGGTAAGCGCTCATTTAGAATAGCTCGCCGTATGGTTAGAGATTTTTACCGCAGGGGCACCTGGTTATAAAATTGTCGGTAGAGAATTTGCCAGCCCCACTCTAATTTTTTAATTACAGGTTTACTCCTTTGAATGGTAAGGAATCAACGACGCAGACTCGGCGTCGATCGCATACTCATAGTCATACTCATTTTTGCCCTTCGATATGATATGAATTTTAATAAAATTTCCAATATTAGCCTTAAGAACTACGCATAATCTTGACGAAAGGGATTAAATGATATGTGGGAATAAGAAATAACTATTACTCTTAGTACTACTCTTAATATCAGTAATTCTATTATTCCATTTAGTTTTACTTTATTTCGCAAATTTAAAATTTTCTATTTACTATTTTATTCCATTTACATATCAACGTTTCTTTTATAATGCAATTTAGAATATCAAATTTTTTGAGTAATTTACGGTGGTAACCTAGTTCTGTAAAATTCGATTTATCGGAATTGACATTATAAATGCCTTTTAAACTCCGTTTTTTGGATATTTGCTCTCTTCATTCGCCTAGCCCAGCTTATAAATAATAAGCAATTCATAGAGCTCCATTATTAATATTATTATTTATTATTATTATTATTGCCTTTTATTGGCTATCGCCGAAAAATTACATATTTTCAAGATGCATTTTTATAATTTTTATCGTAAGAATCTAGTTTCATGGATTCATACTTATATATATCATTTTTTATTTTTTTCACTTCGCATTTTAAATTTATATTTATTAATTAAAATTTTGCACACTAATTAACTGCTAACTATTGAAAACGAGAGTACACCTCTTTATAGTTGCGATTCGCTCGATTTTGCTACATGACTGCGAGACATGGCCAATGAGAGTGGAGAATATTAAGTTACTTATCTTTGGCCACTCATGTCTAAGATTTGGGTCCATCGAGGGGATAAAATCTCACATGATCGCATCCACTTTCGTTCAAATACTGCTTGCATTAACAGAACCATTATGGAACCTTCGCTGGTTAAGACACGTTTTTCATCGCCCACCATAAGAACTGACGTATATTTTGTTACTGCTAAACTATGCGTCAAAAAAGAGCTGGGCCTGGACTGATATTTTGAGCCAATCAAGACCTGGACAAATTTTGAACATATAGATGGACCAACAATATATAGACGTAGACGATGGAAAAAGGATTCCATCAGACTGCTTACCCTTGCAGCCAGTGGAGCCAGTCTAACCAGTAATGACGAAAGTTAGAAGAAGAAGAAGAACTACTAAAATCCAACGTTGGTTTCAGTTAGGAACGTAAAACCACTGAATTATAATATTTGCTTTAGTGTATTCTGAAATTTCTTTTTCCGAATCTAAATTTAAGATTACTTTTATTTCGCCGAAAATAAAATAGTTAAATTAAAATTTAAAAAACAAAATTTTTTAATGGGAGAAAAGAATTTCTTTAGCATAATTGTAATAAAAATTTGATTTTTTTTTTTGTATGAAATTTGTGGTGATTCGATCGAAAATAAATTGTACATAAATAATAATTGTAAATAAAATAAATTAGATCGAAAAATAGTGATTAAAATAAATATTCTTTATAGTTCAAATAAGAAAAAGGTTTTCAATTTAACTTAATTTTATATTTTTTGAAATAAAAAATATGGAAATAAATTTGATTTTGACAATCGAATCATCTCTGATACTTGGCTTATTCAGCTTTCAGATCGAAGTAGTCATAGCGCATTCGACTATTTCTTTTTTGACTTTAATAAGAAATTAAAAATAGAAAGAAAAAATGCATTTCCGCTTAAATTTATTTCACTGGTTATATTACTCTTATTCCGTAACAAAAATAGGAAAACAATTAGGACGTTAGGCATCACTCGGATTTCACCTTTAATTACAGGTTTCTCGCGAAAGAAATGGAACCATCATACATGCGATGGTAACATAATCAACTAAACTTTCCCTCACATATAATGCAATAATATTTTGAATTTTGAAACTCTGTAAATACAAAAGGATGAAAAAGTATTTGATGCGATACATTCCAAGGTCATTTAACTGGATAATATTAGCGAAAGGCAACAATACTGAACGTGATAAAATATTGCGTATTGTCTAATGGCTCTATGTTTAATTACAAGTATTTTAGTAATAACAAGGAAATATTTTTAATAAATAAAAATGCGATTTTTTCCGCTATAATTTTGCTATTTTTATTTTAAATTTTCAGTTGGCAATAAAGATTTTATATAAATTTAAATAATTTTACTTGACGGAAACTAAATATTCGAAATGATCATTACTAAAATAATTAATGAATAATTTTATTATATAATTATAAGCCGAAGCCCTTTAGTCC